TCTCAGCATATTTAAGTAAAAATCATAATTAGTTCTCTATTGAAAAATGAACCTGAACTCCTTGACAACATCCTATACATAAGAGTCTACTTAACAAGGAGCTTGGGTCGAAGTGGAAATAAAACATGTAGGTGTTAAATTCTGCTGCTGGCACTAAGAGGCAATAGTGGAGCTCACAATTAGAATCCAGGCTCACTGGCTATGAGACTGGCTATGAGACCATAGGTAAGTTATTTAATCTTTTGAGGCTTAATTTCCTCACCTGTGAAGTAGGTAGGGGTTTGGAGTAAGAAGAGAATTGGCTAGAGTCCTCTCTGAATTCTTCCTGTCCATCTCATAACATGTGATAAGTCACTAAGTTCTATTGATTCTAAACCTCCAAGACCTCTTTCTCCCATCCCCTTTTCACCCCTCCCTTGCCAGCCATCACTTCTTGGGCTTTCAAAACCTCCTGATGAGTATTCCATCTCTAACTCCTTATGCTTCCAGAGGGAACTGTTTCATCAATTCTCAGACCTGCTCTTTCACATGTTAACATCTCTGAAGTCAGAACTCGGCTTAGTCAATAGCCTACCATGGTGTTGTCAGCAGCCTGTCGATCTTACTTAAATGGTATGTCTTAAAATCAATGATTTCTTAGATTCAATAAGCAGTATCTTCTCTAAAATAGATCAAGAACTTTTAGTTATTTCCCATGTCTTCCAGTTGAACTTCAAATCCTTTTGTCTGCCAGATACCATTTCTCATGACCTGACTCCAGCTCCATCTCCAGCCTCATTTGTGACTATCTCCTACTGCAGCTCTCTTCTGATTACCCCAGATTACTGGGGTCCTTCGCTGCAAACTCACACCCCACTGTGCTCTGCTCCTCCCTTCATCCTAGGAGACACAGCTCAAGGACCCTGCTTGCAATGATTCTCAGCCTGCCTCTCTCCTCCCCACCTTTCCCTGCTCCTCAGGCAGAATGATACCCTATTTCTTGTTCTCAGGTTTACCACCCCTAAAACAGTGTCCAGTGAGATGAGACAGCTTACATAATGAGCCTTTAAAATAGTGCCTGGAACCCAGTGGACTCTCCCAGGTTAATTTACCTCGAATCCTTACAACCTCCAAATAACAGTCTTGCTATTTTCTTCCCTTCTGGGAAGCTAAATTTTTAACTCTCATTAATCTTATAGAAACTGTCCGATTATACCAAAATAGGGAATTATAAACTTAAGTAAAGTTCATTTTTTTCTATCTGTTAAAAATAAAACCTGTAAATTTCGTTTGGGGATTCTGCTAGTTGCTGCATGTGTCTATTCCAATTATACATCCTGAAACTGGGGAAGTCACCACAGGCTGGCTCGGGGACCCACCGGGACCACTGTGAGGTGGACCTGTGCTAAAGCTCCATGGATCACCTGTCCTCTGTAAGCCCCTACTCCGACTGGCGAACCCCAGTGACATTTTGGGGCCCAGGAATTAGTGTCATTTCAGGACAAGTGTTTGGTAATTCCACAAAAGTTTGACCAGTTTCCCTTCTCCAATTCAGTCACCTTGGTAAATTATAAGACTAGGGCCTTGGCTGCTCAGAAGAGGCAAGTTACCTGGGAGATCAGGAAAGTGTTAGTAGGTTGGCATTCAAGCTGGTCCCATAAGGTACAACGCAGATTTAGGGAGAGGATGCTTTTTAGATAGAGATCACCTAAAAAAAATGTGGTCTGGTCTAGCTATGGGTTTTGGCTATAGGCCTGTGAAATGTGATATGGAATCATGGACTTTCATTTTCTGATCTGTTTCATCTCTTGCCTAACACATGGCCTGCAGCACCAGGATTGTTGAAATCAGTGACTTCCTAGGACTAGGCTGAGATCTGGTAGGAATAGTGATGTTAGTGGTAGGGAGGATGTGATGCTCCAAAGTATCTGACACTTGGTAAAATGTATTTCGTGCCTGTGACTTAACTCACAGTAATATGTGGAGTAGGTGTCGTTCCCATTTGGTAGATTACAAGACTGAGGCTCAGAGAGGTTCAGGGACTTGCCCAGAGTTCTAGTCATCATGCCTCAGTCTCTCCATGTTTTCCTTTGAACGAAGAAACCACTCAGTAAACCCGTGGGACTCCTTGCCTTCTGGTCTGTGCTCTTCCTGTTACTTCAGCTCGGCCTGCTTCTTGAGAGAAATGCAGGGAGTGCCCCTCCCCTCCCTCCACCTTGCTGTGAGGTAGCTGAGAGGCCCAGGTAGGCAATCTGCCTGAAGGAAAGGACAGAGTCTGACCAGCCTCTTCCGTGTTTTTTTGGTTTTTTGTTTTTTTGTTTTAGTGGGCTCCTGGGGACTCCACGTGAAAACATGCTTCAGCTTCTGGTGAAATGAGCCTGTGCAAAGTACTTTTTGTCGCTGGGACAAGTAGCTGCGTTCCCCAGTTTTCCATTCTGTCACGCTCATGGATGCTGTATCTGATTCTAAGGATGTTTCCTCTCCAGTGCTTTCCTCTCAATAAACAGCCCCCTACCCCCATCCCCGAACCATCTCCTAAGCTTCGCTCACTTCTCAGGCTCTTCAGTCCTGGTCCCATCTGCCCCACCCACTCACTCACTTAGGGTACTTTTTTCTTTCCCTGGATTCTCATAACCTGGACTTACACAGTAGTCTGTTTTGCAGACTTGTTTTCTTTTTACTTTAGTTGCCATAGTTCCCAACTTTGTATATAAAATAATCACCACTCCCCACCCTTTCTTTCCCCACTGTTTCATTGAAAAAGTTGCCCTGTTTTCTGATGTGGCCTTTGCAGAAGGGATTTGATGTTTTTTTAATCTTTTCCTTTCTGGCTCTACCACCAGCAGACATGTCTTGCTCCTGTTTATGAGTTTTTATTCTAGAGTCTAGATTGATTCAGGATTCAGATCACCACTTCATTTTATAGTGTTTTTAGATAAAGAACCTCGGCCCACTAGAGCCAATGACCTAGAAAGAGGATTATGAGATGGGAAACAACTGATTTTAAAAAAAAGAAAGAAAGAAACCCATCTGCCCTAAACTGGTTCTACCTGTATTACTTTGATTGTGAGTGATTAAACAAACAAATTATATAATTACAGGGGAAATAAGGCCTGTCAGATCATGGTCAGAAACCTAAGGGTTTTGCCTTGTCCATTTTATTGCTTTAACCTAGAACTCCTAAACCACTGGCTTTGGTAGACTATGCGCTCTGGTAATTTGGGGGCCGTTTGGGTTGGAAGGGGGCGGGAGATCCTGGATCACTATTTCTCTTTATAATGAAGTAGAGTAAATAACTAGTAAAAAGAAACTTTCCAGGAGAGGCTGTGTATAGCCCTCCTTTTTAGTAGAATGGAGACACCATACTGGGGATCATAGGACTTGTCCTTAGGCCCTGGAATAGTCATGAATGATCCATGTGACCACCTTGGGCAGGCCCAGCCTCATCAGCTAGGTAAGACATTGTCTACTTTAGGCTTAGCTTCTGGGGCACTGGTAGTTATCACATAACTTCACATAAAGGCACCGTGGGTGGAGGTGGAAGATGGCATAGAGGGGGTAAATGGTGATGGAAAAAATAAAATAATAACTTAAAAAAAAAAGAATATTGGGATTTGTGTGGAGATGCCAGTCACCAGCTTTTCTGGAGCTTCTATGGTTCAAAAGGAAAGACGGAAAGATAAGAGCTGGAGTTTCAAGCCAATACAATGTGATTCCACCTATACATCTACTTCAGACTCCACTGTTCCCACCAGACTTCTATTTATACCTCTAGTCCATTTGTTCTTTGTTCTGTTAATCCATTCCATCTCTCAGCCTAGAATTCCCTTCTTTCTTCTCCCTGCTGATGTACAGCCTGTCCTTTAGGGGTAACTTAAGTCTTGTCCCTTCTCATTTCTTTAGATCTGGCAACTCCTACCTACCTTTGAAATAGTGGTAACCTCCTTTAAATCAAGCTTCATTAGAGATGGGGGTGTTGTGTACTCACTGTGATAGACATATGGTGGGCTAGCAGAAAACTGATGAATTGGAGTGTGCCTCTGGAATAAACAGAATTTAGTGCAGTTCTAGATGTATTGACAAGAATCAATATACAAGTTACAAAGAAGGGAGGGAAGGTCATTTGCTTGGCATGGAGTAACAAACATTTAACAGTCTTCTCACATGCTTTGCCTTGTCTCATCAGCAGCCCTGGGAGGTACGGGTGATATGATGCTGCCTCTTTGGAAACAGTATAAAGAAATGCAATGGTTGCCCTTACCGGTTTCGCTCAGTGGATAGAGCGTCAGCCTGCGGACTCAAGGGTCCCAGGTTCGATTCCGGCCAAGGGCATGTACCTTGGTTGCGGGCACATCCCCAGTAGGGGGTGTGCAGGAGGCAGCTCATCGATGTTTCTCTCTCATCGATGTTTCTAGCTCTCTATCCCTCTCCCTTCCTCTCTGTAAAAAATCAATAAAATATATTTTTTTAAAAAAAGCAATGCAATGGTTTCGCAGTCAAATGGATTTGAGTCTGTGAATTCTAAGTCTCTATGAGCCACAGGTTCTTCATTTTATAAGATGGAGCTGTTTCCTTCTACCTCCTTAGGTAGTGGTAAACATTAAGTTGAATGTCAAATGCCAGTGCAGGCCTCTTATGTAAGTGGTTACATGTGGCCATTTACAGGTGAAGAAGCAGGAGTAGAAACTTGGAAAGAACCTGCATTGCCTCCTGGCTGTTCACCCAGTCAGCAGTAAACCAGAGTTACAACCCAGGCACCCTTAACTCCAAATCCAGGTGCTTGATGCCAGTCCCTGCAGCCTGTGTCATACATACCATGTTTTGTCCCTTCACTCATCCTGTGTGAGTAGAGATGGGCTGGCTGTGTAGAGTTGGCTCATGCCGATTTTACTGGTCCTCCTGGATTGGAGCAATTGTCACCACTATCACTTTTAACTTTAATAGACTGCATTCCTATAGCCTCAAGGTGGTGTGAATGTGCCCATCTCACTCAAGCTCTTTCCGGTCTTCCTTTGATTTAGGAGAAAGGATCCTGGGTTATGCTGAGGAGCCCTGTTATCTCTGGTTTGTCATGGAGTTCTGTGAAGGTGGAGACCTGAATCAGTACGTCCTGTCCCGGAGGCCGGACCCAGCCACCAACAAAAGCTTCATGCTACAGCTCACAAGCGCCATTGCCTTCCTGCACAAAAACCACATCGTGCACAGGGACCTAAAGCCAGACAACATCCTTATCACGGAGAGGTCTGGCACCCCCATCCTCAAGGTGGCAGACTTTGGACTAAGCAAGGTCTGTGCTGGGCTAGCCCCCCGAGGCAAAGAGGGTAATCAAAACAACAAAAATGTGAATGTGAATAAATACTGGCTGTCCTCAGCCTGCGGCTCAGACTTCTACATGGCCCCTGAAGTCTGGGAGGGACACTACACAGCCAAGGCTGACATCTTTGCCCTGGGCATTATCATCTGGGCAATGATAGAAAGAATCACTTTCATTGACTCTGAGACCAAGAAGGAGCTCCTGGGGACCTATATCAAACAGGGGACCGAGATCGTCCCTGTTGGTGAGGCGCTGCTAGAAAATCCAAAGATGGAGTTGCACATCCCCCAGAAACGCAGGACTTCCATGTCTGAGGGGATCAAGCAGCTCTTGAAAGATATGTTAGCTGCTAACCCACAGGACCGGCCTGATGCCTTTGAACTTGAAACCAGAATGGACCAGGTCACATGTGCTGCTTAAAATTCAGGGCAAAGCATCTTGGTTGTTTTTAAACTAGGTGAGTGTACTCTTTTTGTTGTGCATGCAGTCTTCCTGGACTGGATTGGTCACCCTGGGCTCTGGGGCGGGCCCTTAGGGAGTCGGGAAATGCAGGATTGAAGAGATCTACTAGTAAGTGCTTGTTATCAAAGATCCCCCAAGTCTTGATGAGATATATGGGATTATTTGAGTATGAGTTGGAATGTCTAGAAGTTTTCTGAGTGGAGTTGCATTGGAGTTGAGTTCTTACATTTCTTAGAAACATGTTTTCTCATTAATTAATAAAGGCTTACTGTAGAAAATGTACAAAAGGGTACGGGCAATTTTTTTCAGAGGATAAATGCCATCCCTAATTGTATCCCTTCTACTTGCACATCCAGTTCTACATAGTTTATATCATGCTGTGGTTAGTTACAGTTTTGTTTCCTGCTCTTTCACTCCATGCTAATCTGAGCATTTCCCCATGTCATACTTTGAAAGTATGGCTTTCATTATATGTACCATAATATAGCCATTTTCCTACTCTAGATACCAGATGGTTTCTCCATTCTTATACACTATAAAGACTGTGAGTGAGGATTCTTACCTGGAAGGCTATGCTTATGTACATTATTGCCCACATTTATTATGAGCTTTCCCTTGTCAAGTATTGTGCTAGGCTCTGGGGTAACAGTGGTAAGCCACACCAGAAATTTGCCCCATCCTCATGAAATTTGCAGCTTAGTTGGGGAGACAAACATTACTCAATATTTATTATAGTCTCTTTGCAACAAAGGAGAAGAGTTAAGGAAAACTGACCTTTCAGGGGATGGTGGCCAGAGGCAAGAGTAGGAAATTGGGGGCAAGGAGGAGCATTCCCGGTAGACGGTCCAGTCTCTGCAAAGGACCTGAAGCCAGAGGGACCTTAGCACATTTGAGAGACTCCACCGATTTGGGTGAGTGGAGACCATTGGGTCAGTTTTATTCACACTAGTAAGGAATGTTGTTGAACCTGCAGTTGCGTGGCACTGAGGATAAAGGAGTGCCTTGATCTTCAGGGCAGAGAATTAGCTAGACAACTGGCCAGATGTGGAAGCAGAAGAAAGTACTAGATGTGGGAGATTAAAGGCAGAATATACAAATGCTAGCTGGTGTTCTGGTCAGATTTGAATTCTTTTCCTTAACAGAAATCTCTTTGTGGGAAGGGAATAAAAGAACATTGACCCATATTTGCTAGGTATTTTCACATGTACCATTTTGTTTCTCCTTTGCAACTCTATATCCTACTAAATTAAAGGCAGGTATATCTTACTCATGCCACTCCTTTCTTTCGCCCTTTTTCTTAATATTAATATGGCAAGCTGGAAGCAAGCTACTCTTACATTTTGCTGAAGCCTTGAGATGAGGTGATGGAGATGGGGCTGATCCCGGTGGTTGATCAGAAGGAGGGGGCCTTAGCACATGAGACACAGAGCCCTCCATCATCTGAGTGGGTTTTTAGTCACCCTCCTTTCTTTTCATCACCCTCAGATTTCTAGTTGGACTTGGTAAATACTGTGTTGAGCTGGTTGCATCTGTAGTGCTCTCACTGAATTTATTTCTAGAGTGAGTCACTTGCTTTAATTGTTCCATTCCATGAACATTTATGAGTACCTTCCAGATGCCAGGCCAGTCCTGCCCAATGAGGAAGAGAAGCATGTTCCCTAAAGCTAGATTTGGGCTAATACCACATTAAAACCCCCAAAAGGGTTGGCTAGAGAGTGTTTTAATTGTATTTCATGCTGTCACTTCCCATTTCCATCTCATCTTTTTCCACTTTAAAAAACCCCTTAGAATTCAAGTTTGCCCTGGAATAGGAAGAAAGTTGTCATTGGAAGAGGGACCTGAATTTGGGTTAGGATTATGGGGTTGTCACAACTAATTGAGATCATGACTTCCATTTGGACATCCACACTTGAGATCTGTGCTGTTTCGCAGGGCAAAGTGTAGCTAAATAGGAGTGATGCCTGCAAGTAAGAGAAATAGGTGACCTTGAGAGGAGAAAAAGTTACATATATGGTGTCCCAGGCTGACAGCTAATAAAGACAGCACAGTACTTGATCTTTTGGTTCCTATTTGAGTGTAGCCTATCCTGCCCTAGCTGGGCACTTAGAATTATGGACCTGGGCCCAAGTCTGTGTGACCAGGTGCTGAGCCTTGTGTTAAAAGTTTCAGGTCAGTTATTAGAACTGCTCAATCGTTAGAACGGTGGCCCACAGAATGAAGGGTGGTCTGGGTTTGACTCCCAGTCAAGGGCATGTACCTGGTTGCAGGCCTGATATTGACCTGGATGGGGGGGCGGGGTGCAAGAGGCAACCCATCGATGTGTCTCTTGCATTGATGTTTCTCTCCCTTCCAATCTCTAAAAATCAGTGGGGGGAAAATATCCTCAGGTGAGGATTAACCAAAAGCTTCAAATCAATTATGACTTGAGCTCTATCTGTCTGGCTAAAATTGGGAAGGTCTATTGAGTCCAAATACCTTTTTCTCCCACTAGGCTTTATAGATGGAGAAGCTGATTCCATATATTGACTTATTGGGAAACTATTTGGCAGGGATGATTTTAGGCACAGAAGATACATTAGTGAACAAAACAAATTCTTGCAGTTGTGGAGACATTCTCGTAGGGAGACAGATAACGTAGGTGATATGTTAGAAAGTACTAAGTGCTGGGGGGGAGGGGTGTAGACAGGATAAGGGAGATCAGAATGCTGGGAGGACAGGTGGGGCTGGAGGTGTGTTTTGAAGTAGAAGAGATGGGGTGGGTCTCCTTGAGACAGTGACATTTGAGCATTAAAGGTTAGGAGTTTAGGGAGTGAGTCATGAGGATTTCTGGCAAAAGAGCATTCCAGAGGAAACAGCCAGCATAAAGGCTTAAGGGTGATATAGTAAACCAAGAAGAGTGTAGGAAGAAAGCCTAGAGAGGCAACTAGGAGTCAATTAGAATAGGCCTTATAATGATGGATTATGTCTTTCTTTTATTTGTCATTTTTTTGACATTGCTTAATAGTCAATTAGTAAGGATTTTGGCTTTTATTCTTGGGTAAGATAGAAACACATCAGTGTGTATTCAGTTACCTGATATGTAATCTTTTAAAAGGGTCACTATGACTTCTGTGCTAAAAGTAAGCTATAGGGTTGAGCAAGTGAGGGGATGAGATGGGAGGCTACTGTAATAACCCAGGTGAGAGGGAGCGGGGGAGGTGGTGATTGGATTTGGGGTGAGTTTTTGAAGTCAGCCAACAGGATTTCCTGCTGGATTGAATGTAAGAAAGGAATTAAGGATGACTTCAAGGTTTTGGCCTTGGAAGCCATTGGAAGGATAAAGTTACCATCAGATGAAATTGGGAAGACACGTAGGAGGAACAGGTTTGGCTGGAGAGTTAGGTTTTAGTCATCTGAAAGTTTGGAATGCCTATTTTGAAGCCAACTACAGAGGTAGAATGGACAGTTGGATGAATGTGGAGTTCAGAGAGGAGGTCTGGTCTAGAGATAAAATTTAGAGATGGCCAAGATACTACAGTGAATATAGAGAAGATTCAACTGAGTCTGGGCCATCCAACGTTGAGATTGGGGAGAAAAGAAACCAGGGATTGGAGACCTGGATATGGTCTCTTGGAAGCCAGGTGAAGAAAATACCTCAGGAGGAAGAAGTAATCAGCCATGGCATATATGCTGGTAGATTGAGTGAGATGAGGACTGCGGATGGACCATTGGATTTAACACCTGGGAAGGCCTTAGTGCTCATGAACAATTTTGGTGGCACATAATGGGGAAAACCATTAACTAGAAGAGGTTTGAGAGGGAATGAAAGAATAATTGGAGACAGTGAGAGAATAGAGCAATGTCTCTGAGTTTTTGGTCTGTTACACTTGATACCGAGGACGCCAGAGAGCTTTTGTTTTAGGTTTTATCTATGGATATTTGTGATATTAGAAATTAAAACAGATGTTTTAAATGTTCCTTTTAAGTGAATATAATACTAGCTAGATTGACTACATGTTAACATAAGTATTATAATTTATGAAAAAAACTGTTTTCAATGAAACAGTAGAATGGCACTGTTTTATAGTTTTGCAACTCTCTTTAATATCTGCCTTAATAGTCAGCTGGATTCTCATATATGCTTCTGTATTATAACCTGGTGCCATGTCTCTCATCATCAAACTTCTAGAAAACTCCACTATACACTTAGGAGGGAATGAAAGGGAAAAGGGAAATAAAGTCTGAGTGTTATGAAAAAGTTTATTAGTTTCATGGATTCCCAAACTGCACACCACACTTTGAGAACCAATGGTGGTATTGATGACTGTTCCTGAGGAATTTTACTGGGAAGGGGAGCTGGGAAGTAGGGGCAGCTGGAGACCAATGAAGGCACGGAGTTTGTGTCTTGATTCCTAGCCTGCTTTTCTATTAGACCTGTTGTTGTGGCTGACTCTACTGCATATAGGAAACATACTTCTCCCCAGTACCTGCACCAATCTAGGATTGTAGATTTCAGAGTAATATTTAAATCAGGGTTACATGATTTTAGTGTTTTGCAACAATGAATGGAAATGTACTTTGGATTGGAAACAAAGGTTTCCTCTGAAAGGTATGTTGCCTAGTGGATTATCTAGGATTGAGTCCCATTTCTGTGGTTTACTGGCTATGTGACCTGAGGCAAGTTATTTTATCTCTCTGGGTTTTATTATCCATAAAATAGAGTGGATCATATTTATCTTATTGAGGTTGTTGGGAATCACAAGAGGTTGTGAAAGTGCCTTATAAAAACTGCCTAAATGAAATGTTAAATGGTAGAATTTTAGATATGTACACTTTGACTTGAGGTAGAAGTGTTCTTTTTTTTTTTTTTAGGCAGTGGTCTTGAGTGGTTGCCTTGCCTCTGATTACCAAATAGATTTTTTTCCTAAACAAAGCTGTTCTCGGCAACTGTTCAATGACTTGTTTCAGAAAAATTATCTATTTTTAAAGATTGCTTAATGATGGATTATATCTTTC